CCAGCTACGAAGTAAGGGCTTTCATACCATTTGACCACGTCATCGCTTGGCCACCTCTCCCCTTCTTCCATCCGCAACAGTAGCGCAAACAACGCACGTCGCGGGAGTCGGTGGGGTGGCATGCGTAACATGTGGTATAGCCATCGGAGTCTGGTGCGCGAAATAACGGTGCTGAGAGGTTCGTTTCTTCTTCATGCGCCATAAACAAGGCGCCGAACACGCCCATTGCTCACACCGTGTTACTACCAGATATGAGCCAAACTGCGAAAGTACCGGCGGTCGCACGCAACTAGCCTCTTCATGTCAACTGATATAAGGGGCCAGGTTTCACGATCATACAGAAGGGTCGAACGTCATCATCATCAACAGCAGTACATCAGCCATTTGAACTGATGCTTCGTTGCCATACAACCATGAGGACCTATGAAATAAAGAATAAGAGGGAGAGAAGGGGGACTTACCTGAAAACCTTAATGCCCTAAACAAACATTCAGGGTCAAGGCGCCTACGCCTTGTGTAGACAACATACCGTCACAAACAGCTGGCTATCGTGCAAAGGTAAGGCGGCAGCGGCGAAACAGCTTCTTTGCGGCTTTCACTGCCACGCGTCATAATCAGCCATTACCCCGCAGATAACTCAGCACCAAACACACTTTAAACAGACAATCCGATTAGGAGACGGCAGCAGACGCGCCACTGGTGTCTACTGCGAGCCATGTCCTGTAAAGTCTCGAGCCAAGCACAAGACGAGTCACGTGGACTCCAGCCCGGAAGGCGAGACGGATCAACGGCACCCAGTTTGGTTGTCAGTGACTTCATTTCCCGCTGCCAAGTCAACTTCTGTCCATCTCCAGCCTTGCGCCACCCTACACCTGGCAGACTAAACAAGGCGCTCCTAGGTAAGCGGTGAGCAGGCATACGTAGCATGTGCCCGAGCCAACGCAACTTATTCAGTACTATTCGTTGTTCTATGAAGCTAGCATGATTATCACCACCAAGTAACTCGCCTACGCACATCATCGTTGCGGACACGCTGGTGCCAACCGATACAAGCAATGCTTCGCAGACAACGATGATCAGAGTGGAAGGCGCCTCAGATCTTCAGACCGAAGGGGCCAAGTCTCACTACCATACAGCAGAACGGCCCTCACTGTGGCCTTGTATACACGGCCTTTCAGACGGAGGGAAACTCCCTTCTGTTGCCAAACATGCCGCAGGTTCAAGAAGGCAGCTCTGGCCTTTGCAATGTGTGAGCTGACGTCAGTTTCTATGCGCCCATCGTTGCTGATGCAGCTGCCAAGATAAGTGAATTGATCAACCGAATCGAGTTCCTCGTTAGCAAGCGTCAAGGGGTCATCAAGTGGCTGGTGGTCCTGAAGCAACACTTTGCACTTTGAAGATGCGAAGTGCATACCAAATAATGGGACCACTCTAGACAGGCTATTCAGGATTGATTGTGCCGCCGAAACATTGTCGAAAAGCAAGACGATATCGTCCGCATAATCTAGATCAACTAACCTTTCACCAGGCAGCACTTCAACGCCTACATCGTGAGATTCCGCAAGGGAACAGCCCACGATTGAATCCACGACAAAATTGGACAAAAATGGGGAAATCGGACAACCCTGACGAACGCCACTTGTAGTCGGAAAGCTATCCGATAAGACACCGTAGACCCTGACGGGGCCTGTAGTTTTCGAGTATAGAGCACTTAGGATGTTCACATATTTCGTGGGAACACCTTTCCGTGCAAGTAGTTCGAGCAGAATCGATCGATCGACTGAATCGAACGCACACTTGCACTCAAAGAACGCAGCCATTGTCGCTCTGCGGTATGCGTGGCGCTGCTCTAGCACCTGCCGCAAAGTGAATATATTGTCTATAGAGCCATGTCCTGGGTGGAAACCGGCCTGCTCTTCCCTAATGCGAGATGCCCGTTCAACATTGAGGCGGCGAACAATAATCGAGGCCAATAATTTTGTCACAACTGGCGTTAGGCTAATACCCCCGTAGTTAGAACAGTCTGTACAACTGTCATAGTTATATATTGCCACTATAATCTATCCGCTCCAATTAACCAGGACACTCTTCCTTCCAGATACATTCGATTAAGGAGATCAGTGCTTTGCAGGGGACCTCACCTCCATCCTTAAATAGTGCAGGTGGGAGTGAATCCAGTCCAGCGGCACGAAAACGATTAAGGGCTGTTATCGAGTTTCGGACCTCGGCCTCTGAGGGAGACTCTAAACTAACCGTCCATGGCTCGTCCTGCATCACCTGAATAGGAAGAGGTCCGGGAACAGGTGGCAGGCTGAAGTGATCTGGAAAGTGTTCCGCCCAACGAGTCATACCGCGCTCCTTATTGTTTATCAGCGCACCCGCGCTGTCACTGATTGTGTCACTAACACCTGGGTTTTTTTGGACCAGTGGTGCGGATTAGCTGGAAGAGCCTGCGGTAACTGCCTACTGCTCACGCCTCCTCTATTTCGTGAGCCCTACTGGTCCACCAGGCTTCCTTGTCACCACGTAGGCTCTGCTTTACTTCACGCCTAATAGCCTGTCTGGTCACATTGTATTCAGAACCAGCCGGGAGGTGTCTTCTAGATGCCAATAGATTCACCGACGTCTCGGATATCCAGTGACTGGTACGGTGACGATGGATAGTACCACAAGCAGATGCTCCTGCGTCGTGCATGGCGGCCGAGATCCTATTCCACTGAAGCTCAGTGTCAATAGGACAAGACAGCGAAAGTTCGGTATGCAGTGAGGGCTGAGACAATTTCGCAGTTGCCAATTGGAGGAGACGCTTGGTGCGCCTCCCGGTAAAGTTCATGGAGAAACGACAGCATACCAAGGCATGATCAGAGTCGACATAGGTACTCCAGTACGAGCGACAATCCAGGATGGAACCACGCCACCTGTAACTTATGGCTATGTGGTCAATTTGGGTCTATCGCTGACCAGCTACAGGAGGACGCCAAGTGGCACTACGGCGCCCACTGTTGCTAAAAGCAGTGGTACTAAGAAACAGCTGGTGCTCCGCACATAGTTGCAGCACGCGCACACCGTTGTCAGTCCGTTCGGAGTTAAGCCCATAATTACCACCCAGCTGAGATTCTGAAGAACTCAGACGCCCTACTTGTGCGTTCATATCCCCTGCAAGTACTATAATATCTGAACTAGTAGCACTACGTAGTAGCGCGTTCAGTTCGTGATAGAATGTGTCCTTGACAGCATTAGAACTGCAGTCAGTGGGAGCATAAGCAGAAATCACAAACAAACAGCGTTTTGTATTACTTCGTGAATCAACCTTAGTTGATGTCATCAAACGGGCTGCACATAAACGGCTGTTCACCGGAATCCAATCAACCAACGATGGCTCAGCCTTGGAGCTGGGAATGATACCTACACCAGATTGACCCGTGAGTGCTGCTTCGGCGTCTCTGGATGCATGCAACCAATAAAGAGAGGATAAGCCGGGTGCAGTTAATTCAATAACCCAGTTAGGGTTATTGATCCTAGTTTCGGACAAACAACACACATCAATACCCAGTTGTCCAAGGTGCGTGCGAGTGCAGCCTGTTGACCTATTCTTCTTAGAGTGCGAACGTTGAATGTCACCATGGAACCGCGATAGCGTGGCCTTACAAGGGATTTTTACCGATAGGTGCTGTGGGATGGTGGCTACAGATGGTTCTACTCTAGTGGCACTTCGGTTGCTGTCAATTAAACTGGGAATTATAGAAGGTTAGTAATGGTGGTCGGGATGGGAGTAAGAGAAACAGGTGGAAAAGAAAGAAGGGAGGCGCCAGCAGTAGCATGTTTGCGCTTATCCGCCCTGCTGTATGCAGCAGATAAGGCGACCCTTAATAATCTGCGCGACGGCCGATGCAGGATGAAGTTTATGTTTGAAGAAAATGTCATGGTTGTATGTGAGCTGAGATACTGCCAGGGCGCACAGACTTAGACAGGAGGACGAGTAGGGTCCTCATCCAAAGGTTTTGGCTCAAAAACCTGTCCGCAAGGCAGCGGATGTGGCAATGATTTAGTTTTACAGAAATGGACGCCATCCTATTTCAAACCCCCAATCTGGAGGACCAGGAGACTGAGTTTGTCTGACCTCTCACCATTGACCAACCTGGTAGGAGTAGCTCTCAAGGTGCCCGGAGGCATCACCCAGTATAGCTCAATGGGTCAATGAGGTATGCAAACCGTCGCACCACGTTAAGGTCCAGTCTCGTTGCGACAGACGGATGTGAGGTTAATGGCTAACTTTTTCCGTCTGCTCAAATTAGGTATCAACCCACAAAACCAAAAAGTCTGCAAAATGCAGCTGGTGTTTTCCTGTCCTGTAGATAAATGGACGATTGAAGTGGCAAATAATAATAATAATAATAATAATAATAATAATAATAATGTGTCAGCCATACGCCGTAACGGCGCTTCGCTGCCGCGCGACCACCACCAGTCGCGCGTGGGCTGAGTATACCGCGAGGACGCCCACCCCTACGCAGATTCGAAGCGGTGACCTTATGGTTGCAAAACAAATGCGCAGACCACTCGGCCACCAGCTGACGATTGAAGTGGAATCTCATTCAATCCGCCAGTAGCCTTAAGGATCACAAGCCGAAGGCGTGGGTACTAACCTGCGTAGGGACAAGGCGGTCCTCGCAGGATCCTTAGCCCATGTGCGACTGTTAGTGGTTCAGCGGCAGCAAGTGTCAGCATTGTATACCGGCGTGCTGCTGACGTCTTTGCGTGGGCTATGGTACGCAAAGTTTGAGGCCAGCCTCATAGTGGCTTGAAGAGATTGGTGATCACTTCCGCCGACTAGAGTTAAATGATGAAAAACAAGTGGAACTATATTATGGATAACTTGAGAAGCAAAACGATTTCGTCAACTGCGACGGTAGTGAGAATATAACAAAAAAGCGCACAAGCGAACACCAATAAATAGCGTGCATATGTAAGGTGCGCAATTTAGAGTATGAAAAACCTACTTTTCACTGGTGGCAACTTGTTTTTTAAGTGCTTTGTTGATATTAGGCACAAATTTTCGTTTAGCACCTGCATCGCCTTCGAATCTATGAAAGCAAGAAAATTAGTAGCCAAGAAACCTTACTTTGAAAGCTTCGTGCCGACGTCACTGTTATCACCCATGGACTTCAGAACTAAATAAACGTGGCGGCATTGGTTTACGCGTAATAAGGGGTAGGCGCATTAGTTTTGTGTGGGAGTAAAAAGCATGTAGGGAAACCAAAATAACAGCAGTTATAAACCACTCACTGTTAGGAAGCGCGAAAAAATCTTTCACAAAATATTTTAGTACGTCTAATAGATTTCAATCCGAATGCCACGTACCCTGAAGGAAAGAAAGCAGCATCTTACCGACAGTTCGCTTCTACTCGAAAACTAGTAGTCGCGCCCATGCAAAGCATATTGTGAAGCAGGCAGTATCCATGCAGAATCGAGATGGTGACCTCTGAGTAGAAAGGTAAAGGCCTTATCTATTGGCCACGCATCTGTGTATCCGTTTTCTGATAAGCTGGAGAGGAGGTGACCATCAACAACCCCAGGTAAATCGACGAGATCGTCATGAGCTACTGTTAGCGGATTTAGTAAATACTACTACGTCGCGTTTCTCTGCTCTTGCCTTACTACCAACGCAACACATCATATGCTAGATTTACCGATGCACAAAGAACACAGCCAGTGGCCTCCATCAACCACGATCTTCATTACGGAGGGCAGTCTAGCGTTCGAGCCAAGTGCAGACCAGGCAGCAAATTGACCAAAAGTAAATCCTAGAGTGCCTTGCTAGCGATGTTTGTTTCATCTCCAAGACTCGATTACAGGATCCTAGCAAAGTGGTTAAGCTGATATACCTTGATGACTTGAGAGTCAAATATTTTCTGCGTATGCCGTGATCTGAAGCCTAAGTTGGAAAACTACCCACTGATGAGCTGCATTTAGGCGGTCAAAACGGTGTAGGCACCGTTAGTGATGATGGCCGCTAAATCTGTGTGAAGATGCTCGGCTATTTCTCGCGATCACTAATTTCTGACACAGCACCTACAGAAGAACATGGCGCACACCAGCTTTAGCCAAGCTGTACCTAACGATACGAAGCCTAAATTAAGTACGTTGTAAGAAAACTAGACTAGAAACTACGAACAAATAAACCAAGACTTAACGCACGGTCTAGGCAGAAGAATAAAACGAATTATCCTGTAACCGTGGTTATATAAGGCATTCAGATTCAGATGGGAGTGGAACGATAGGAAGATCTCTTGAGTGTTCCTTCTTGAGCGGATCGTTGGGCCAGAAAATAATAAGGTGCTACGAGGTCTTGATGGATCTGAAAAGAAACACCTGGACCACACCCTGGTCAACCAATTACTGTCCACGTTCCCTGCACTAACAGTCCCTGCTGTGCAGGTCACGTGAAGTAAGGAAGACGTAAAAAGAAAATGGAAGATAAAGAGGAAGAAAAGTCATATAAATGAAGGATAACACCAAGGAATGAGGAGAATGACAATATGAACTCAAAGTTGGAAGATGGATATGGTCAGGAGAAGGGAAAGGTTTCGTGTTGCCACCCAAGCGGATCTAACTGATGCTCGAAACCCTTAACCGTAGGTTCACTGACTACACTTTCTAGAAGCAAGTTCCAGCGCTTGATAACTCTACGCGATAACCAAGTTTCCGCTCTGATCCTGTCGGAACACGCCTTGTGTAGCTTCATGGGATGACCACGAAGACAAGGCCATCTAGTCGGGGTAAACAGCCAGTTCAAGTCCGGTCCAAACTTCCCTGTTAATATGCGGTAAGTAAGGATTAGGTCTCGAAGCCGTCGGTAGTGCATTGAATACATACCCAAGCTAAGCAGAGGCTCGGGGTAAGATTGCCCCCGTAACCCATCGACCAATTTGGTACCTACTCTCAAAACTCTCTCGAGCTCCATTTTGTCACGAACAAGGCAGGGAGGGCAAGCCTGGACGCAGTATTCCAGATGGGGCCGAACGAAAGCTGAGAACAGCTTCACAAATATGTCGGCAGTTAAGACCCAGTAAGAACGGCGTATTAACCACAACATTCTGAAACTTTTACTTGCGGCCTTCTTCCAGTTGTCACCAGAATGCAAAGACGAGGAATGAACGACGCCTAGGTCTACCTGGTTGGAGACAAGGGGGAGTTCGACCCCACCGAGCACGTATCTCGAAGGCGGGAAAGTTGCTCCTATACGAAGGACGGAACACAGCCTGATTAATGGGCAGTAGCCACAAAGTAGACCAGTCCCAGAGTCTGTCCAGGGCATGCTGTATGGCCTCAGAACCCCCAGGGACATTTACAATATTCCATAGCTTAAGGTCATCAGCAAACAATAGGGATGATACCCCAAGCTCTCCAGAGAGATCGTTTACGTAGATGGAGAACGGTATCGGTCCAAGGACCGAGCCCTGGGGGACACCGCTAAGGACCGCTTGCTTAAAGGATAAGCTGCGACCCATATGTACACACTGCTCTCTTCCCTGCAAGAATGCAAACACCCAGTGAAGGGCGCAGCCAGATACACCGTAGGAGCTCAGCTTTTGTGATAGCCTCAAGTGGGGTACCTTATCAAATGCTTTCGAGAAGTCGACGAAAAGCACATCCACTACCTGGCCATTGTGCACTACCTCGGTCCAAACTTCACGAGCAACCAACAAATTCGTCATGCATGAAAACCCCTTCCGGAATCCGTGTTGTGCACTACTGAGTAGATTAAATCTATTCAGGTGACCTTCTAACGAATCTCTCACCAGCTTTTCAAGCAGTTTGACCACGACGCTAGTCAGACTGACTGGCCTATAATTGGCTGACAGACTCCTGTCGCTATTTTTGAAGACAGAACAGATGACAGCTTCCTTACATTCAGAATGTACAGCTGTCAAATGACTTCTGAAACATCATTGTCAGCGGTACACTTAGTTCCACCGCCAACTCATATAGAAGCATCGGGTAAATTGAATTAGGTCCAGCTGTTTTAGAAGGGTACAGTTCTTGCAGCAGCCTAAGCAATTGCGTTTCCACCACAGTAAACTCAGTTAAACAAGAACCCTCAGGTACTCTGGGGACAAGGTCTACGCTAGTCAATGCGGATAGCGACCTCCGGTCGGTTATTTTTGGCCGTGTTGACAAGATCACTTTGTGTTGACTTTCTGCGTTCATTGGAAGTATTTCGTGGAAATTGAGATACAATTCAGTTTCATTTCCGATTCTGAAAGTTCCGACCAGAAATACTTGTGTTTTCATCGCTTGGTTTCGGCGATCTTGCTATCGCCATTTTCTCCGTCATTTGGCCGCCATCTTGTTTTCGGATTATTCACAATGCCGAAGCAGTCATCCTGTGGTACTTGCTCCAAACTAGTCGGATACCGTGCCAATGCCCTCACGTGTGGTTTGTGCCAAGTTAAATACCATATTTCATGTGTTGGATTATCAGTTGAGCATTTTCATCGTCTTCGCGAGATCCAAAACGATTTCGTCCAAACTATATGTGAAAATTGCCGAAATAAAATACAGCCAGAAAGAGTAAAGCCGACGTGTAGACCTCAGCGTTTTGTTGCGAACAGCTCCGTGTGTTTGACCCAACAACCTAGCGCGAAGAGCCTTCAGGTTTCGGCTCAGTCGTCCTCCTCTACCCGTGCAAACTCACCGACACGAAGTCAAACCGTTGTGAGAAGCCCAGTTGCACCTGGCCTAAATTGCTTACCTTTGTTGTGTCCAACGGACACTGATGTCCCAGCAGGTGAAAGTCTGAGTGCTGAAGACCAGTGGAAAGAACAGAGGACGAAATTACGAAGGAACGTTGGGCGTTTACGTTCTGTAAGTCAACAGTTAGCCAAACCACTTGAGGCTGGTAGTATACTTCGCCCTGCAAGGCCAACCTCGTCCGAGCAGAGGCGTTATAATCTCGTGATCTTTCACGCACCGCAGTCCAGTGATCCATCACCCCAAGTGCGCTACGATCACGATGTCGAATTTTTACAGGGTCTAATTGATAGACTCCTCGACGCTGGTGAGGACTCGGTAAAAGTGAGGCAGATTACCCGTCTTGGAAAGCAAGGTGATCAACAAAATCGGCCTATGAGAATCACATTTGTGGACGAAGCCAGTCCAAGACTGATCATGTCTCGCCTAAGTAGGCTGAAAGGTTTGAAGATCCATGTTCGTCCCGACCTGGACCCAGTAGACAGGGAGCGGCTCAAGTCTGCCATCATTGAGCTAAAAAGACGCACTGGTGAGGGGGAAACAAATCTTCGTATCGTAAATTTTCGGGTGGTTTCCAACCATCCGCGAATCAGGATAAACAGGCTGCTCACACTTCAAGCACGCCCGGTGACCCCCGCTGCGGCCTGCGAGTAGCCTTCACAAACGTTTGCAGTATTATGAATAAGCGCGATGAGCTTTGTTGTTTCGTTGCGTCTGAGCGGCCAGACGTAGTGGGACTCGCAGAGACATGGCTGCATGCAGAGTTATACACCCAAGAACTTGAACTCAACGGTTACTCGTGTTTCCGATGCGATAGACTAAAGAATGCCCACGGTGGTGTCTTACTTTACATCCGGTCTTCCCTGCGTGGGAGACTTGTGAGCACCTACCGAAGTGACGATGGTCTGTGTGAGCTACTGTGGTGCTCCATCCGCCTCAGGCGAGGAGAACTGCTTGTGGGCGCAGTTTATCGCAGTCCCCTGAGTCGTGGTTTGGATTGGCTGCCCATTCTTCGGACCCACATGAGTCGTCCACACTTTCTACTTATGGGCGATTTTAACTGTCCTCGAATACGATGGCCTGATGTGCATTTGATGCCTGGACATAGTGAGGTTGAAGCAAAGTTCGTGGATTTGGTACTTGAAACTGGTGCATCGCAACACATATGCCAGCCAACACGCATATCAACACGTTCAACCCCGTCCTGTCTCGACCTGATGTTAACGAGCTACGAACAACGAGTGCGTGACGTTAGGATCCTGGAGCCCCTGGCTACGAGCGACCACTCAGTACTGATAGCTGATATGGAATTATCTTTGCCGTATTCACATCCGCTGCAACCAGCTCCCAACTACTGGAAAACGGACTTCGATGGTCTAGCTCGAGCCGCGAGCCAACTGGATTGGTCTCTGTCACAAGCTGCATCTGTGGAAGATTGTTGGATATTTATAAAAGAGAGATTAACATCATTGTGTTCCCAATTTGTGCCATTGAAATGTCGAAAGGTTGGACCGATTAAGCCTCATTGGTTTGACAAGGAGTATAGAAACCTGGCTCGGAGGCGGCGCAGACTGTGGGACAAATTCCTCCTCTCTGGCTCTGCCAATGATTATGAAGGGTATAAATGTCAGCGGAACCTCTGCAACAGTGCAAAAAAGAATAAACGCCGACATTTCGAAGAGCAACTCGCAGTAGCCGCGAAGACCGCCCCCAAGAGAATCTTTGCATACGTGAAGCGACGCCTGAAGCCGGCAGGTGATGTGCCAGTGCTGGATGGCACGGATGGACAGCCCCTAACCTCCAGCACTGAGCGTGCGTCCGCGTTGGCGGCGCACTTCGCTTCTGTATTTGCGAATAACCAGGTGTCTGTTCCGAGTTCGACGTGTACCGCTTTTACCGAACTCGATAGTCTGCATTGCGGCGTTGAAGAGGTAGCTCAACTACTCGCCAACCTTGACGGCACCAAACCTGCCGGACCTG